CCAGACGGCTTCACTACAGAATTCTACAAAACATTCCGAACAGAACTAACCCCAATCCTCTACAAGCTCTTCAAAACAATAGAGGAGGAAGCAACCCTCCCAAACTCATTCTATGAAGCCAACATCACCTTAATCCCAAAACCGGATAGAGAACCATCAGAGAAGGAAAACTACAGACCTATTTCTCTGATGAACATTGATGCTAAAATTCTCAACAAAATCCTAGCCAATAGAATTCAAAAAATCATCAGACAGATCATTCATCCGGATCAAGTAGGATTCATCCCTGGAATGCAGGGATGGTTCAACATTCGGAAATCCATAAATGTTATAAACCATATCCAAAAACTGCAAAACAAGAACCACATAATAGTTTCAATAGATGCAGAAAAAGCTTTCGACAAAATCCAACACCTCTTCATGCTAAAAACTCTAGCCAAAGTAGGCATAGATGGGAAAATCCACAACATAATTAAAGCAATTTATGAAAAACCCAACGCCAGTATCATACTGAATGGAGAAAAGCTAGAACCCTTCCCACTGAGATCTGGAACAAGACAAGGGTGCCCACTATCACCACTGCTATTCAACATAGTCCTAGAGGTACTTGCAGAGGCCATAAGACAAGAAAAAGAAATCAAAGGCATACGTATAGGAAACGAAGAAGTCAAGCTTTCACTATATGCAGATGACATAATCCTATACATAGAAAAACCAGGAGACTCAATACAGAAACTGCTAGAACTTATACGAGAGTTTGGCAGAGTGGCGGGGTACAAAATTAACGAACGAAAATCAACAGCCATAGTGTACGCAAATAACACCAAGATGGAAGAAGATCTAACCAACAGGATACCATTCAAAATAGCAGAGAGAAGTATGAAGTATTTGGGAATAAATCTAACCAAAAGTGTAGGAGACCTATTCGAAGAAAACTACAAACTATTTAAAAAGGAAATTGAACAAAACCTCAAAAGATGGAATAACATCCCGTGCTCCTGGATAGGCAAAATCAATATCATTAAAATGTCTATACTACCACAAGCAATATACATTTTCAACGCAATTCCAATCAAATTGCCCAAAACATTCTTCACGGAACTGGATACAATGATTCAAAAGTTCATCTGGAAACACAAAAAACCACGAATAGCTAGAACCATCCTGAAAAATAAGAAATTAGCAGGGGGAATCACAATCCCGGACCTCTGGACATACTATAGAGCAGTGGTTATCAAAACAGCCTGGTACTGGCACAAAGACAGAAAGGAAGATCAATGGAATAGAATAGAAGCACCAAAAGGGAATCCACACAGATACAGCCAATTAATCTTTGACAAAAAGACCAATGACAGCTTAAGCAAGTGGGAAGGACTCTTTAGTAAATGTTGTTGGGACAACTGGCTGATAGCCTGTAGAAACAAAAAGATAGACCCACATCTATCACCATACACTAAGATCCAATCTACATGGATAAAAGACCTAAACCTACATCCAGAAACCTTCAAACTCTTGCAAGAAAATGTAGGAAATACCCTGCAAGACCTAGGAGTAGGTACCGACTTTCTAAGAAGGACACCAAAAGCAATAGCAGTTGAGAACAGAATAAACAAATGGGACCTCATCAAACTAAGAAGCTTCTGTACAGCAAGGGAAACAATCAACAAAGTAAAAAAGCAACCCACAGAGTGGGAGAAGATCTTTGCACACGATATAGGCGATAGGGGGCTAATTTCCAGGATATACAAAGAACTTCAAAACAACCAAAAAACCAAAACAAACAAGCCACTCAAGAAATGGGCACGGGAAATGGGCAAACATTTCACAAAGGAACAAGTCCAAATGGCAAACAAACATATGAAAAAATGTTCCAGCTCCCTAGCAATAAGGGAAATCCAAATTAAAACATCGATGAGGTACCACCTAACACCAGTAAGATTGGCCCACATAAACAAGAACACCAACGACGCTTGCTGGCGAGGATGCGGGGAAAAGGGAACCCTACTCCACTGCTGGTGGAGCTGCAAATTGGTACAGCCTTTATGGAAATCAGTCTGGAGAACACTCAAACAACTCAAAATCTGCATACCATATGACCCAGCAATAGCACTCCTAGGAATATATCCAAAACACCTGTTTTACGACAAACCAACATGCATCCCTATGTTCATTGCAGCACAATCAGTAATTGCGAAAACATGGAAGCAACCGAAATGCCCATCAGCAGAAGATTGGATAAGAAAGCTTTGGTTCATCTACTCCATGGAATACTACTCAGCTATTAAAAAAAACAAAATGCAGTTCTTTGTGGCTAAATGGGCACAACTGGAAACTATAATGCTAAGGGAAATGAGCGAATCCCAAAAGATTAGATACCACATGTTTGCCTTGATTTAACCTGTAATTTTTTGTTTGGTTGTTTGTTATTTTTTGAACCTGTCATTGATACTGTCTCAACCCAGATGTTTCGAAGAATGGAACTTGCATTATTTTTAACATATTGTTTACCCAATACTATGTCAATTAATTCCATAACGTTGTATAATGATACTGAGGCCTTGTTGGGGCTTTTAACTGACTGGATCTTTACTCTGTTAGACCTATCTTCAGACCATAGAAGGTCTCCCCAAGAGGCCACTGAACTTATCTGGACAATAAGACGCTGAACTTTATGCTAGGCATGTGTTTGCAAGCAATGAATCTCAACTGAACTTGAACTTTGGTTATGCAACAAGGTGGAGGAATCCACCATGGGGGGAGGGGTATTGGAGGGGTGGGGGGGATCCCCAGCGCCTATAAAACTGTACTACATAATATAATGTAAGCAACAATAAAAAAAAAAGATTATGCCAATGTTTGCTCCATATATTTAGGAGCGCTGATGCCAATTACATCATTGTATTTATAACTGTTATATCTTCCTGGTGAACTGACACGCCTCTGTATTTTATATTCTTCTTGGCTTCTTAACTTTAGAATCCTCTTTTAAAATACAGGTTTGGGACAGGAATTGACCTAGCAGTTAACTAGTTGCTTGTGACACCTGTGCCCCATGCCAAAATACCTTGGTTCTGTGCTACCTCTGGCTCCTGACACCAGCTTCCTGTTTATGCACATTGTGAGAGGTAACAATGGCTCAGGTAACCCGAGTGCCTATCAACCCATATAAAAGATCTATATTGCATTTCTGATTCTCAACTTTGCCCTTGGGCCAATCTCAGTCATTGTAGGCATCTGTTGTGTGAGTCAAGAGATGACGTGTATGTGTGTGTGTGTGTGTGTGTGTGTGTGTGTGTGTGTGTGTGTGTGTGTGTTTGCTTCTCAAATAAAAGAATAGTAATAAACATTTTTACACAAACAAAATCCAGGTATGGCCATCACAACTCTCTTTTAATTACTATTCACATGGGATGCTGTTTTTTGTCTTTTGATTCCTTTCAGCTCACGTGCATGCTTAAATCAAGAGTTAATATCTGACAGATGGGGTATTCTTGGATCTTGTTTTGTTTATCCAGTTAGCCAATCTAGGTCTTCATTTCAGTGACTAATTCATTCATATTTAGGGTAAGTACACATAGGGAAGGACTTCCTATTGTCATTATGTGCAGTCTGTATCTCTTATAATTATTTTGTTCTTTTCCCCAACATAAAGACATAATATTGGACACATTCACTCTTTTCCTTCCAAGGGAAGAATCCATGGTTGAGAGTGTTTTTCCAAATCTTGCTCTGCAATGCTGCAGAGAGGGAGTGGATAGGGTCGGTAATGTGAGCACTGTGCCAATTCTCCTACCCGCTTCACTCTGCTCTTCTGGACTTTGCACTATAGCCCCTTGCCTAATTTCCAGCATTCTCTCAAAGGCAATTTGGTTAACTTTCATTAATTCAGTATCTCTGTGGGGGTATAAGGACCTGGTGCTTCCTCCTATTCCACTATCTTGTTGACATTACTTTTTCTTTGAAGTGTTTGTTCTACATTTTCATTCATGCCATTTCCCTTATGATTTCTGCTGGCTCACTGGTTATTTATAAGTGTATTAATTCTAATATGTTCACAAATTTCCCATATTTTTGTCAATAATTCTGAGTTTAAATCCATTGTGATCAGATAATGTGTGCATTATTGCAATCTTCTTAAAGCCACTGAAGCCTAGTATATGGTCTGTGCTGAGAACACCTCATGGACATTTGGAGAAAATGTATATATTCTTGTACTATAGGTGGACTGTTAAAGAAATATTTTCTTTAATATAACATTAACTAGTTCTTAACTACATTTTTAAGTTATTGTCTTAGCGGTTGCTCAGCTTCCAATGGATATTTTAACTTATTAGAATCTACTTCAGATTTCTACTAAATTAGTTTTGGAGAAATAAAACAAAACATTGCGCTTATATGGCTCTTTCTCTCTTCTCCACTTTGTCTTATTATTGGACATATTACATCATCAATACATGCTACAAATTGAATAATATTATTTTGCTCTTCAAGCAGTAATTGCAATTAAATACAGTCACTGGGGAGGGAGTTTTGAAGAGTGGGATAAAATGATTCTGAAGCTTGAATCAGAGCTCCAAACTAAAGAATGGCCACCTGAATGTATAAGTGTACATATTCAATTTCAGGACACTCACACAAATAATCGTCTCTAACTCTCAGACTTGATGTATTCCAGTGCCTTGGCACATTTAAGTCCATATGTTTTCCCTGCTTCTTGGCCCCTCAGAAATACATTCTGCCAGTTCTACAGAAGAGGATGCCAATACAGACAAAATGAGAAAAATGACCTACAAAAAGCAAGAACTGCCACTCTCCAGACAGAAGGACTCCTGGTGGCAAAACACATGATTCAGCTCATCTCTATCAAAAAAAAAATTTTTTTTAATAGCTGCTTGAAAAACACACACAAGCAAAACAGAAAACACACACACACACAACTCTGTTTCAAAAGTTCTCTTGAACTCTGAATCGTTAGTTCCCTCCTCCGGTGCTCTCCTTACCCGAAACGGGGTGTTGATTCGGCTCGTGAGGGTGTCCAGGATATGCACATTCTCATGCTGGTGCAATAGGATAAAGCGGAGGAAGATCTCAAGCAGTGCTGGCTCAGAGATGCTACGCAGGAAAAGGTCCAGATATGCAGTTGTGGTCATGACCTCCTCCACAGTCACCTGAGACGAAAGACAGAGTGAGCACAGGGGGAGAAGCCCCTCGGTACTGTGGGACACCCGCCGCAGTGGCCCCTGGCCTCCCTCAAGGCAGAGCCACGCCTGCCCTCTGCAGGGCTGTACCTGAAGCCCACGACCCTATCCACATTCCACAGTACCTCAAGCTGCTCCTGCCCTTTAAATCAGAAAGAGAAATGCAAAGGCATAAAGAAGCAATTCAAGTGTTCTGACAACTCTAACCACCAAATGTAGCTCAAATATCATAAAAATTTTAGAGTGCAATCAAAAATGAGAAATGAAGATAATGAAACATATTTACATGGTTAGTAAAGGATTAATAAGAAAGTTTGGCATTACTTGTTTCATCATTAGCCATTCAATAAACATTTATTGGGCTCCACCATATACAAACAGCCAGAAACGTAAGAACGTATTTTCCATACAGGAAGATGGGCTATAATGAACAGAATGCTAACATAATAAAGTTCAAAGGAAAAGCACAGACCACACATGTTCAGATGTGATGCTGGAGAGTTGTGCATCGGTTCCGTACAACTGCATACTGCACATAAAGTGTTTATAAAATTTTAAGCTATATAAGCTGACTGCCTATAAAGTTATCCATGAATTTCTAAATAATGTAAATTAATATTTTCCACCTGGTATGCTCTCCCTGCAGTGAAAAGTCAATCTTTTGACTCTGAAGAAAGTCAAGTTTTCCAAAGAACTGAAGATTCAATGCTTCAGGCATCACATTTTAAAATATTCTGCTTCAGAGTATTCTAGGAGCAAACAGACACTTCTTTCTCCTTCTAAAAGCAAATGTCATGCCACTGAATGACCTGAGGCCATCACTGGAGTCATTGTTTGCTCTCCTTGGGTGTAGAGAATCCCAAGCCCCCCAGGTGAGTGTGTGAAAATCACCAACGCCGTAGCGAAAGCCTTCAGATTCCATCACCACACTTCAGAAGTCTTACAAATCTTCCTGCCACGCAGCTAATACACGTCATTCCAAAGGAAACAGCTGGTAATATTTGTGAGTGATATCTTCTCTTTTCCCCCAATGCTCCAGCTTTTTTCTTCCTCCTTTTCAAAGTGTTCAGCTCTCTATTATGCCATCACTGCTCCATTCCTTTTATACGACATTTCTCTTCCCCTTTTAATTTTCTGCTTTCAGAATCCACAGACTAGTTTAGAAACCAGATGTCCAGATCTGCTAGATAAGTGTGGAGAGCACTTGTGTGGATGCATCTGTGCATAAATGCTCGGCAATATCTATTTTGGCTGCTTAAAATTACTTTTTAAAACTTCTGGGTCTTCAGCTGTGCTCTGCATAGACGAGGCCAGGTGGCTAAGACACTACTACAGCACATCAGTTTTTGCCTGTTTTCTTGATCCCAAGCAAGGCATGCATATCTGATCCATTTGAATTCACTTTCTCAGAATCTATCGAGAATTCACAGGCCAGTGTCCAGAGCAGCTGGAACGCAAGTAGCACCAGAGTGCAAATATCTTTCCTTAACCCCACCCTGACTCAGTGCCATCTGAGAGCCCTCAAATGTTCAATATGCCACTGTGCCCTCTAACCAACTTAAAAGGGCTCTCTGTAGCCCAAATATAGCAACGGAGACAAGAAATCCTCCGCCACTTGACAAACTGCATTGGGAAGAGTGCCTCTCATGGGCTGCTCCTGCTGCTGAAACAAACTGTTTCCATTCTTGAGTTTTCCAGTAATTCTCTACACGAATGCACACGGTCCTCCTCCCACTGTCCCAGAGCACACAGCTTGTCTTTTTCCTTAGTAACCCTGGCACAGGGGACAAAGCCTGGTGTATAGAAAGTACCATTTCTGAGTGAATGATAGCCCCCAAGGATCTAGCAATTTTGTATTTACTAGAGTTCAGCTTAACTTCTAGTTCTTCCTATTCCTGACATGTCCTGAAGGCCCCAGAGAATAGAGACTTAGAATTTTTTTTTTAATATAAAGACCTGAAAATTAAGCAATGTCACAAAGTAGGGCTTAGGGGACCATGCTTCACAACAGCTCCAAACACATGCACATTTCCTTTAGCTCACAGCCACTCCGCCACAACAACTCCAGGTCCTTCAGTAGATATTTAACACAAAATGATTAAGGCAAAATTGTAATTCTCTAACAGCCTTGATCACTAAAGTACCATGGTGTGACAGACCACACAGGCAGTTTCTGTAGCATCGTATGTTTGCCCCACCCACTGAGTACTGCTGAATTGACATGTCACACAGAATTCCAGGGGCATCCTTTGCACCGCCAATGCAGCACCAGCTTTCCCCTCTCACGTTACCCATGACCTTAATAAGGATCTAAGTCTCAGTCTTTGGGGGCTAACATGAAAGGAGGGCATTAAGTGTCTATTGTTTACCACTCTGAGGCCGGATAAACGAAAAGATTTTATTTCTTTTTAGGAATCAAAGCTGCTGCTAATAAGCTAAGAGGATTTAGGAAAGGAATTGGAGGGGGGAGCATTTATATAACGAGCTGTAAATATTAAAAACTCAATTTCATTAAGCATCAAGTTGCAAATTCTTTATTTAAAAAAAAAATGAGGTCACAGTCACCTTACGTTACCAGCCAAACCAGGAAAATCTGGTTTCCTTTCCTTCTACCATAGCCTCAGAGCCTGCGCAAGCATTTTTTATCCCAGAAAATCGTTTCCAGCCTAATTATTTTACTTTCAGAAACTTCTTCTAATCCCCCCCAAATAGGCAACCTCCTTAACAAGGATGAGACCAGAGCCTAAGTGTGATCACTTGAAAGCTAAGACAAACCTCCAGGGGAGAGAGGCTCTGCTTGTACAGAATGTAAAATGGAGTCTCCCCACAGAAATATCAGCAGAGTAGACAAGCAGCATCCTCACGTTCCAGTTGTGACAGTCAATCTGCGGCTGATGCAAGACCTTGTGCCTTATGGAAGATAATCAGTATTTATTGCCGTGATGTAGAAGAAATTGCAAGAAGCTATAAATTTACAGAGAAACACTAGTAGAAGCATCACTTAAGATTCTACCATATCATACACAATAATAAAATTAAAGGACACTACAGCTTAAGAATGTTATTGCAGACTAAAGCTCATCCACAGTGACTGAATGACCTGAAGAAAACTGTTTCCATGATCAAATAATTATCCTCAAAAAGAAAAAGATCCCTGTAACCTGAAAGAATGTACCTGTTCAGGCCTTCTTATGTGCTTAATTTTTGCCCAAAGTTCTAGAATGGAGTGCTGACTTGGTTACCTGCTTTTACTCCTGAATTCTGCTCAGGTCATCCTCTGAAAGTTATCCTCCTTCAGCCACCTCCCCCATCGTTCCCTGGTCCTCAGCCTGGGTCATCTGTGCCAAGAACCTTCGGCAGTCCCTTAAACTGGAGTAACTGAAACTGCAATTTGAGACTCAAGAGTGGGCAACTGAAATGTATTGGTTCATTAAAGGTTTAAAGCTGATTCAAAGAGAAAATGTTACAGGACACTGTATTATTAAGGGCAAGTACTGATTTGTGCAATTTCTGCATACATATTTCTGTGAAAAATATATATATAATATTCATACAGTGTGTATATTAAATGAGAGATTTTCCGTAACTTCACAGAAAATGTATATTATAAAAAAGTATGTATGATGTCAAAGCTTACACCTAAAGAAACTTTTCTTTTAAATTTATTATTCCACTTATTCAAAGCACCCTTCGATATGTGCTTTGCTTGCATATTCAGTAAACAGATAAATATGCAAATGTGTAACACACATTCCTGTCTGAGCTATAGTCAAAAACATCTTAAAAACACAACCACAGCACAATTCACAATCATGCGTGGCCCTCCTCCCGTTTCTTGCCAGTTTTCATCTTTATACCCCCAAGCTCCAGGCTGCAATCCATCAATAGCTTAGTCTGGAGAAACACATATAAAACTATTTTCTGAACAAGTTGGCAATTGAATTTACAGTCAATTCACTCCTTTTTATATAGCCTAAGAGCTCCAAAAATATTTTTTTATTTTTTATTATTATTTCAAGCTTCTCAGAAATGAACAAAATGGGTGGTTCCTTTAAAAGGGAGTAGGTGAGAAGTTAGGACACTGACATTGTGTGTCACAGTCCACTTCTGTAAAGTCAAAACTCCATAAAAAAAATTAAGATCAGAACCAAGCCCTAACCATTATACCCACAATCACAGCAGCACATTAACTTAATGTGTAGGAGTGAAATTGAGCATATAGACATTCTGACCTTTCTGTAATCAGCTCTAGTTGGGCGATTCCATTTGCATCTAAATTAGCACCAGAATCCTCCCCTGTAATGGCAGGTTTATATGTGTCCAAAATAAAAATAAATTTCCCACCTGCTAATTTGTGTGTGTGTGTGTGTGAGAGAGAGAGAGAGAGAGAGAGACAGACAGACAGCGCGATCCAGTCACATTGGAACAAACAGATGACTCCTACCTTCTTCACCCAGAAAGGCGGCAGGCAGTAGGGTCAGAGACCAAGAAGCCCCCTCCAAGTTAGAAGCCACCTCTCCTTGGCTTTTCTGTCATTACCAGAGGAGAAAATTAGTGAACTACTGATTCATCTAAGCCATCAGTGAGTCCTAGACCCCAGCAGCTCCAACCAGACTGAGGCAACAGTGAGACTGGGATGACACGGCCCAATGGGCATTCCAGGAGGGAAAGGATCAGTGAGGCTGGATCACACAAAACAGGAGGGACAGGATCTTGGCAGGAAACAAAGGTGACAAGCCTGCCTGCTGCTGATGACAGAGACAGGCCAAGGAACAGGCAAGAGGCACGTCCACCTGTGGCAAGCCAAGGTCAGCAGCTAGACGGACTCTTTGCAGTCATGTTCTTCTCCCCAACAGCCCAGAGCACCTGCAAGAACATTCTAGCACGCAGAGGGGAGATGCAGACACTCTGATTCCTGGCGAGTGGCTCTACTGTTTCAGCCAAAAATTCAGGACAGAAAACATACAATT